CACTTTAAACTCATGACTGATTAAGAGAGATATAAATTTCTGCCTTAAATAATGAAAAGGCCTGTGGATGATGACTTCCCAACAGCTTGTGTGATCCCCAGTATTTCAGCAGTCCAGATGTGCCTTGACAGGAGTAAATAATAACGTTAATGGGCTCTGACAGGCTGTCTTCCACCCATGACTATTTTTCTTACCTTTTATAAGAGGTAATCTCCTCTCACTTCATTTATTTGTGGGCGATCATCCGAATGACTTAAGTAATTCACTGTCTCAAGAAAGTTATAGCGAAAATACCATTAAATCTGTTTCTTTTACTCGCTTTTGAAAACACAAGGAAGAAGAACAAATTTAGACTGCTTGCCTAAATTTAGCGATATGTACTGAGGTGGAAATGTGACAGACATGGCTGGTTGAGCAGGCTGGTGATAAAGCTAAAAGGAATATGCTGTAAAAACCCCTTCAGGATTCTGTTTAGTACAGAAGATGACTGTGATCTTGTGGGTCTGTTTGTCTTACAAAGGCTCTGAAAATCCTGAACTCATTGGTTTATATATAAGGATAATGTTGATCATTACCAGCTGGGCTTCTACCATTAATTAAAATTCAACTTTATTGAGAATCAGGATCATAAGCATGCAGGTAAACAATGATAAGACCAGTTTCTATCATGATTGTCTTGATTCACATAGTTGAATCCTATAGAAATCCTGTAAGCTGGGCAGAGAAGAACAGAAGGAATCAGGATTCTTGACTTTCAGTTCTGTCTGCTCCTTGTGTTTTCTAATGACACACATGGGTTTTGTTTAATTGACACGTGATTTTATTCCAAAGATTATTTCCCCTCTGAATAAATGTGCTCAAATAAAGGTTAGATTTTAATTCATGTTTATCATGAGCTTTTTCTACAGCACTAAAATGTGTTTTATTATAGAGTTTGTTGTTTTTCTGCACCTCTACCAGTGATACTAGTGAGTGTGAAAGACTTTGTTTACGTCTGGCTTATTTCAGTCAGTACTGGTGGTGTATTTAAGTTGCCACCTAAACTCCCCTTCTTATGCAGTAATACTTCTTTATACTAAAAGATTTTAAGGTACTTTCCATGATTTATTTGAAAGGTATTAACCTTAAATAGATTTTAAGTAATATTTTAATTCGGCTAATAATTTAAAGATTTGTGTCATAGAGCCTAAAAAACAACCACTTTTCTCTTGGGTGCCTTAAATCCTTTATAGGGTAATCAGTGAAATACTTTGAAAATCTAAATTTCAAGCCAATAGTGTTATTGGAATCCAGGACAAGACCTTATTACCTTTGTAAATAAAAAAAAAGGGATATTTTGATGGTAAAAATTAATGTCAATGTAATAACAAGAAACGCTAACTTGCGCGAAAATATTAAGAAAAATAACAAAAGTGCTTCTATAAGAAATTAATAAAAACACTCTGAGAGTTAAAGAAACACATTTTTTTGGTCCAACATAACCTTAGAGACATTAATGCTGATACTGGTACTTATTATTTTTTGGTTTATAACCTAAATATAATAGTTAACTATGCTTATTATTTTTTTTTTTAACCTTTTTTCCAACTTAATTTACAGTAGGTAATATATCATTCAAGCGTTCATCTAATCAGTTGAATGCCAAAATAAGATGTACAGCCATGTAGCAGTATCTTTGCTGAATGGCTGGATATAGATCTAGTGCTTCTAGACCTCACTGAGCGACGAGGGTACTCAATTTTTAAGGGTTATGCAGGTGATCCAAAACGGTAACTTAAAGGGTTAAAGGATGCTACTCTTTAGTTATAATGCAGGTCTTGGCGTCAATCAGTGCAGGTTGAGCCATACTTGTCTTGTTGAAGCCAACGGACCGAAAAAAACCAAGAAAAGGCTGTCGTCCCGTCTGACTTTAAACTCCGTCAGGCGGCTTTTCCTCCTTTTCACATTCCGATGATGTTTAGTGGGATGGTAAATTGTGAGTGTCCTTAGTTGAATAACTGTTTAATAAGCTCTCTGTCTTTGTAAAGATGTCGGTTTAATAACATGAAAGGAAAATCTGCAAAGAAGGGGCGAGACTGGATAATGGAGAAAAAGGAGAGAAGAAGACGGCAAGGAAAGTATGTGATAAGTGACATTTTTTTGTTTTAAAACGGGATAAATATTTTCTTGTATTTCATTTTGCTGGAAATCTCTCTCTCTGATTGGCTGATGCCCTTTCTCCCTCTTGTCTCCTATTTCCTGCAGGGAGGTTCGACCTGACACGAAATATACTGGACGTCAGCGGAGACCTCACTTCTAATTGTGACTCATGCAGCTGCACCTTCATTAGTGCCAGTCTCCCTCACCCACACACACACACACACACACACACACACCCCACACACACACAGTCACCCCTGGAGCTGTTGCCTGATTGGACTTTTCAGGTTGTTAATTCAAGTGGACGAGACGCAAGCGAGAAATTACAGCAAATCGCTTTTCACATTTGGTGAAGTGCTTGGATGTTTGTTTGTCACAAGCTGTGAGGAGCTGCAGTTTTCAGTTTGAGTTGAAATGCCCTCGCTGCTACAAAAAGGAAAAAAAACTGCAGAAGAAATGTTATATTATTAAAGCAAATTTTAAAGGAGGCCTTTTCATTTTCTCTTATTTTCATTGTATCACTTAGACTTGGACAGATTTATTTTGTCATTTTGTATACAGCAAAAAGAAATTCCGTTAACATTTTTCAGGAAATTTCTTTTTTTTTTTTTAAGTGCAGTCTTGAAAATGACTATATATATATGACTGTATATTTACAGTTCTAACATTTTTTTTAAACCTTTTTTTTAACGAAACTCTGTAAATGCTTTAAATTTCTTTTATAAGACAGTGTTAATGCATGGATTTATGCATTAACATGGAGTTAAGCATTATTAATGTAAAAAAAAAAAAAAAACTAACTAAAATGTAATGAAAAAGTATAGTTTTTATATATAAAGTTATTCATAATGAGAACATCATCCTGTTCTCCAAAAGAAACTCCAACTTCCTGCTACAAGTTCCTAATGAAACATTTTCATACAATTCCTTTTGTTGATGTACATTACCCTTGTCCTAGCTGCTAAAATGGGATCGCTTTTTCTTGTAGCTTCAAACTTAAACATCCAGTGAATTGGTTTGCAGTCAGGAAATCAGCAAAGCTAGAGGTGTTAATTAATTACAATATTATTCACTTTGAAATTGTAGCTCTTCAGGGATTAATTGAAACTCAAGTTCTTTGCAGACAAACTGATGCTTCAATCATTACTTCTATTAATGCTGAAGATTGTGACTTAGACTTGATGAGACCCTTAAATTCAGGTTATTAAAAAAACGTGTTACATGACACCAGAATAAAGCTAACGGAGACATGTCAACCTAGCAAAGTCTGGATTCATGTGCTGAGAGCTTTGGCTTTTTAATTCAGTCAAGATTAAAGTTCTCTTTGGACCAGAGACATTGAAAAAAATTGATTGATTAGTCATCTGGATAGGATTAGACTGGTCTCAGATAATCGTGGGGGAAAAAACTTGGTGTTATTTTTTATCTGGATTTGTGATTTGAATCCCATATAAAAGAGGTTCCAGAATTTCATTCTTTTATCACTGAATGACTGCAAAAAAATGTGAAATATCCTGTGAAAAGATGAGGCTAAGAAATTAGTCTAAACATTTGATACTTTACCCTGGGCTATTCTTATTCACTATAAGAAGGTCCACAAACTGCACTGAAAGCCTGTAGCTGATTCAAAATGCTGCTGCTAGAGAGCTGATAAAAATTACGGTAAACAGATTAAGTTTCTCCTACTCCAGCTTCCTTTTATTGTCTTCCTGTTAAATCCAGAATATAATTTAAAATCCTCTTCAGGTATACAACCCTAAATGACCAGGCTTATATATAGGCTTAGACTACTGGAGGACATAGGGGCCACTTTTCACAAAGCTGCTTCTGTTCTCCTATTCAGTATTTGTTAGTTCAACCTCTAACTTTATGTTGTCTCTACTATCTAGCCTTTTATGTTCCTTTTGTGTATCTGCTGTCTCCTTGAACCCCGAGTTGGCAGAAGGCCACACACACTGAGCCTGGTTCTACTGGAGGTTTTGTTTTTCCTCTCCACCGTTGCTGCTTTTGTGATCAAAGTGAGGGAATGGAAACAAGGACATAATGCAAGCAAATGTTTGCTGTCACTACATGCTCAACCAGGATGAGCAAATCCTGCAAAGTCAATGACTCCATGGGATCAGATGGGTTTCCTCATATAGAAAACTTTTAACCAGTCTGACTATGAGCGGATTAAAATGTCTTTGTAAAATGTCAAGAGATAACGCGTTGTAAATTGGCAGTATATAAATAAACTGAATTCAATTCAATTCTTTGTACTCAAATAAATGCCATAGTGGGGGCTGCTCAGTGTCGCAGTGGGTAGTACTGCTGCTTTAGAGCAATAAGATTCGATTCCCGGCCTGGGGTCTTTCTGCATGGAGTTTGCATGTTCTCCCATGTGTGAGTTTTCTTCCAAAAATATGACTGTTAGGTTAATTGGCTTCTCTAAATTCTCCTTAGGTGTGAGTGTATGTGTGCGTGGTTGTGTTGAGCTGTCTTGCCCGTAGACAGCTGGAGATAGGCACCATGGATGGATTTTGTCATAGCAGCATTATGCTGTGGGGAAGCTTTTCCTTAGCAGTGACAGGTGAGTTGATGGAAACTTTTTGTTGTTTTCTATTTTTATTTAGCAAAAAGACAGGTGTTTCTTGTTAAAAAAAATCGGTCAAATATTTGTATCTTTAAAAAATATGAGAACTGTATCTATATGTTTCCTTAGGCTGTATTGTATTGAGCTGCACCTCAATGAACTACACTATAGAAGGCGTCGTTTCTGACCAACAGAGGTCGCTGTTGTTCGCTTGAAAGCACCTGGGCGTTATCCTTTAACCTGCTCAATCGATAACCTGAACAAACACTAATTCCTGTCTTAGTTCAGCAAGCAGACCGACTGAGTTATTTCGTTTTTAACTTATTCCATAACATGTCAGAGTAAAATCCACAGGAAAAAATACAGAGTTTTTATTTTTTTGCGGATGGATTCAAAGTGGAGTTTAAGGTGTGTGTCTGAAAGGTAATCGGCGGAAGGCTCTGCCTCACCTTTCCACACAAAGGTAGTTCCTGTCTGAGAGGCAGAGAGGGGTTCCGCGTCTCTCCTCTCCACCAGACGCGCCCGGCTCGCATCATCCGTCGGTCTCCGCCCAGCCGCTCCATCAGCAGCTCACATCCAGAAACCAGGGCAGAAAGGAGGAATCACATCGGTGGACATCAGGAACCATGAAGGACCGCATGCAGGAACTTAGACATGTGAGTTTCTGCTTGGTTCACTTATTGTTTCTCTTTTTCCAAACATTCCCCTCCATCTCCACCTGTTCCTCCAGAGCAGGAGCGGATGGAGTCTGCAGCGCAGCTAAAGCAACAGTTGTGACTCAGGCTTTGATGGAGGCTGTTTGATCAGCAAACCCGCGCATTGGGGGCTTTTACGCACAAATCTGAATAGTATTAAACTATTAGGGCTTTTATGTGTTCAAGCCAATTTCCTTGTTTTTATATATTTGCACTAAAATGTCAGTTATTCTTTATAGAATTAAAAAGAGATTATTTCAGGACTAAACGGAAAGTTAAACGATTGAAAGGATCTTTTTTAACGCAATCGATTTTTGTTGAATATTTGGAGTTGAATGAAAGATTCCTCCAATTATCTATGAGGATGGTGTAAACAGAGGCGTAGCCAGAACATTTTAAAAAAGGTGACCAGACAGTAACCAATGCACACTGAGGGTGGGGGGACACGTTTTGCTCGTTAGTGTTCCAACATTAACGAGCAAAACATCCATATTTTCTAAATAAAGACTAACTAACAAATAGACGCATGTATTTAAACATCCATACATCTAATTAAACATCCAATTAAAGGTGTAGTGTACAAAATTCTTACAGTTTTGAGTTCTGTAGCAAACATCTTATTCATTGTCATTATTTACCTACTTTACCAACCTCGGAGGTCCGCTGGTTGCTGTGGTCCTCTCAACTTCGGATATTGTTTATTTTAATTACGCATTAAATCGGTAAATGGACCATATAGTGACGCTTTAAAATATAATATTCTAGCCTCAAACGATTTTAAAACGCGCCTATATTGAACAACAGCAACAGAAAAGAAAATTTTTAACTTTCAATGAAGCGCTCCATTGAAAGCTGTCGCAGTGCATGCTACTGTTGTGCTTTCTCCTGCGTCGTGCAGCTTTGTCGTCACGCACTCAAAACCCCGCCCGCTTTGCATCCAAAAATTCTAAACACATCTCTGCGTTGTGATTGGCTCTCCAATTCTAGGGCCTGAGGCATTGATCGAGGCTAGACCAAACTCGCCGGCAAAAGTGATTTTGGCCCATGGTGGGTGGGGCTAGTTTACTACACTAATGCTAGGGCTGGGGACTGCGGAGGCAGGCGGTGGGAAGCACGGGGACGCAGGTGTCCAGACTACCATCACCAGATCAGATTTGGTCGCTCCGTCCTCCGTTGGCTACCTGTTTTGACTACGTGCTGCACTGTAGTCAACCAAAATCCCGGACGATTTTGAAATTCCCCCTGTACATTTTCTTAGGTCTGAAAAGTAGGACATGTCCGGGAAAAAGAGGACGTCTGGTCACCCTAGGCAGAGGTCACAAACGGGGCCCTCAGGGACCACATGTGGTGTTCTTAGCATCTTCTGAAAACAGAACAGCTCACCACTGCACTAAGTTTGACATTTTAGTTTATGCTGCTGGTCTTTTTTTTAATCATTTATAGAGCATTTCATGATATCAATCATTTAGAACATTTAAGTATTTATAGGGATTTAAAAATGACAATATCTAAACGCAAATTAGAAAATGAAAAGAAACGGTTGGTGACCCCTGGTGTATGCCAATGTAACTTACCTTTAAACAGTTCCAAATAATATCAGTGCCTGGTGAAGATTCTGAATCACCCGATGCATAATCATTCCAAAAAAGTAAAAAAAACAAAAAACAATCCACTGGACTTTTTCCAAGTTTGAAGATGTTTCAACTCAACGCTATTCCTGACATTTTTAATTGAAAAAGCTTCCTGGAAGGGAAGCAAAGTCTTTGGAAACAAAGTCCAGTGGATTGTTTTTCTAAACTTTTTTGGTATATCATTGCCTTCTACTGAACTCAATTTACAGTGGCTTAAATGGATTATACATTGTTAAAATTCAAAATAAATACTTTTTTAGAAAAAAATCTAAACTATTGCTTAAGACCACTTAACAAAGGATGGGTCTCAAACTGCTTCTACAAAGGGCCCTGTGACTGCACATGTTCATTCCAACCAAACAGAGTAATAACAGACTCCAGGTTCACCACCACAGCTGGGAAGATATTTAGTCTGCACTCTACTTTCTCTGTAGGATCTGCACGGTTCCTTCTTTCTTAAAATGCACTTAACCCACTCAAGGACCCATCCCACCCTGGTCATTCCTTGAACTGCCGTCTGGCAGACGTTTCAGAGCAATTAAAGCAAGGCCAGGATGAAGAGCAGTTTCTATGGCAGGGCCATTGCAGCACTTAATGGACAAAGCCATACACCAAATACAGATAGACTATACATTAGCATAAACATATTGCAATTACTACATGGGTATAGTGTCGAATCTCCATACTAACTCAGGACATAAAACAAAGTGATTGGCTTTAAGAAGAGTGGAGACAGAGACACTCTTAAGTTTATTGAGGAAAACCTACTCCTGACCAGGTTAGCTCTGGAGAGAATGTTTCTACGGCAACAGAAACAGAGTTTGAGGAAACTGTTAAGGGGGGCAAACACTGTACAATCTTTCGAGGGTATTCTCCAGTCGTGCGAGCCTTTTTTCGATTGGACAGTTTCAGCCTCATTATGCATCCTGTGTTGTGTAGTATACCCGGGGTAACAATGGGAAGATCAGCCTCTCACGACCACCTGGAATCGTAAGTTAGAGAGAAAATCAAACATGTTCGAAATTCAGTCGTCCGACCAGCACCATCTCTCGGCGCTGAGTCCGACATATGGTCTCTGAACGTACAGTTTGAGCAGTAAGATCGCATCAGAGCATCGGACCATACAGTGTAAGAACATGCATCGTTAGCGTTGAACTTTTAAACCCTGCGTTTTCATCGTACAGTTTGAGCTGTAGCTGAGTACAAAGATTGAAAATATAGTACATTGTATGCCCGGATTTAGTGAAATGGAAAACTCGGAGTGTCCCAGAATTCAGGTTTAATAAACTTTGTTTTCAGTAAAGCTGCTTTGTGAAATGAACCTCAGGTGATGATCAACCCATTAGAACATTGGCCAGATACTCAGAACAGATCAATATGTGGATGAAATTTTCTGAATAACTGATTAAAAACAAAACTGAGGTAATTCTTTTCATACCAAAGGACACAAGATCCATAGTTAGCTCACAGCTTCAGCTACTACAGCTAGTAACCACTGATTATGGCCGATATCTTGGTGTCATAATGGGCTCTGACTTAACCTTCAGAGGCACATAAAGCCAGTTACTAAGTCGGCCTTTTATCACCTGAAGAACATCTCCAGAATTAAAGGACTAATGTCCAAGCAGGATCTAGGCAAACTAATTTATGCATTTATCTTTCGTAGCATTGATTACTGTAACAGTGTTTTCACAGGTTTGCCTAAAAAGTCCAGTAGACAGATGTAGCTGATCTAAAACCCTGCTGCCTGTGTTCACACTAGAAGTAAGAAAGTAGAACACATCAGCCTGGTTCTGAAGTCCTTCCACGGGCTCCATGTAGCTCAGAGAATAGACTGTAAATCCTTCTTTTAGTCTATAAATCACTAAATGGATCAGCACCTCAATACATAACAGATTTGGTGTCAGTGCATCAACCTACCAGACCACTCAGGTCTTCTAGCTCACGCCTACTCTGTTCACCCTCAACTAGACTAGTAGAGAGGTGGTCATAGATCATGACTGAAAACACTTTGTACTAATTGTTTAACAACACAGTGAGACTTGATTTTTCTTTTCTCTTTACACAGAAATGGTGGTTAGTCTTCCATAGGGATTTGTCTTTATAAAGGTGCTGCATGTGTGTTGGTAAAGTGGCCATTGTCAAATAAAGTTAATTTTCAGTAGAGAAGCTTGATTGGCCTCAAGGGAAGCAACCTATTCTTACCAAATGTGTGTTTGAGTGTGTTTCAAGACAGGCGTGTCCTCTTCATCATTCCACTGCCTCCTCCTCTTCTTCCTCCTTAATACTAGTAAAAAAAATTAGAGAAAAATTTCCTTAGTGCGATAGAAGCTCAGCCAGCATTCAGTCGTACGGTGTGGGGGGTTGACAGCACTGATATGCCAGCTGCTGATCCTATTTTCTTTCATCATTTTTGATCATATCGCTCATGTCTGAGAGATTGCAGCTGAAGCGGCTGCAGACAGACCTATTTTAGGCAATTCAGGCCAAATGGAATTGAAGCAAATTGCAAGTCACAGCCAGTTATTTCCCAGCAGCACTGGATTAATATTGTTTTCAGTATAGAGCTTCAACTTGAAGCTGGGTTTGCACTTCATAGAAATATATCTCTGGGTCTGGAGGACAGCAAAGTGGATTATTGGTAAATTTCTGATTACATAACAATCCAAACCAGCCCTAATTGTTTTACTGTCAGGCTGTAGAGATTCTGAATAATGGCTGTATGCTTATAAATATATTTATCCTTTGCTTTTTACAACTATTCCCATTTGGTCTTAATCTTTGCTTAATCAGGAAAGGCTGCAGAATGTGTTTGGTACATTTGAGGTTAGTTATAAATAATTTAAATAAAGCTATGTGTTTCTTCAAGTCAACAGAACATGCATTTTCATTTCCTTCTTTCTTCCTTTTGCCATGAGTGTGGTGCATTTTTACTTTGGCTTGTTATAGTTCAAGATAGCCTTGAATGAGATTTGGGAGCCCCTTGAAGAATTACACATATCCCCATCTTAATAAAGTAGACATACAATGGATGCTTCTTTTTATGCTCTGCAATAAAGCATTGCCCCTGAACTGTTAGGGGAAAATCTGATGAGTGTTCATGCCTAAAGGAATCAACAGGATGCTCGTTGTACTCCCACAAAAACAAAAGTGCAGGTGTGATCGGACCACTAAAAAAAGTGACAGCTTCCAATACCGTAAAATAACTGAGGTAATGTGAAGTGAGCAGTTACAAGAATGTACAAGTTTGTAATGCATTTCTAGTCACACTCTCTAACCCTTAGATTAGAGATAAATAGATTTCAAGTTCAGTCTGGATATACATTTGGC